GGAGGAGGCAGGAGGTCCCTGGGAGGAGGCAGGAGGTCCCTGGGAGGAGGCAGGAGGTCCCTGCCCGTGTCGATGACGGTCCGGGGGTAACCATGGAAACTATTTTCTCCCCATCCCTCCCCCGCAGATGACTCGGGCGACGAGGAGCCCGCCTCGCAGTCAGACAAGAGCGAGCTGCATGGCCCCCTGAAGACCCTCTCGAGTAAACTGGAGGACCTGAGCACCTGCAATGACCTGATCGCCAAGCACGGCGCGGCCCTGCAGCGCTCGCTCAGCGAGCTGGAGAACCTGCGCCTGCCGGCCGAGAGCGGCGAGAAGATCAAGGCGGTGAACGAGCGCGCCACGCTCTTCCGCATCACCTCCAATGCTATGATCAACGTGAGTGCTCTCCTCCTCCTCCCCTCCTCCTTCTCCTCCCCTCCTCCTCCTCCTCCTCCTCCTCCATCCCTGTTTCTCCCCGTGTTTCTGTTTTGTGTTCCCGCGGGGCTCGGGCGCGGCCGGGGCTCGGTGCCGGCTCGGGGATGGGAAGTTGGGAAGATGCAGCTGGGAAGCGGGCACGGACACGTGGAGCACCCCTCAGGAAACACAGGTCTGCTACGTCCTTACACCGTGCTCTCTGGGGGGGCTGCTCCAAATAGGTCAGTTTGGATGTAAAGCTGGGAAGTGCAGAGGTTGGGAATGCTGAGGGACTTTCTGCTGTTCCGGGGGGGAATTTTGGACTGGCACAGCAATTGTTGCCTGCTGCAGATTGAGACCCACGTCCCACATCACTCACATCCTCATTGCTTCCATGAAGCTGCTCGAGTTCCACACGGCCACAGGATTTAACCCCCTCGGGGTCTCGTGCCGGTTGTGCTCTCCCAGCCAGGTTGTGGGAGGTTGGGAAGCGTGTTCTGGCACTGCCTCTGCTCCCTGCCCTGTGCAGCCTCACGGTGCTTTCTGCATGGGTTTTGGAGACAGCTTGTGTTTGGGGTGTGGACCTGCCTCCATCGCAGTGACACAGCCCTTCCTGGAGAGCCTGGTTTTCCCTGGGGAACTCGGGAGACTGCAAAACTGAATAAAATATTCAAAGGAAAGAATGAAAAACCAATCCCAAAGCTTCACAGGCTTGGAATAATGTATGAAGGCAGAGCTCGGGGAATTATGAATGGAGCAGTGCTGTGGCTCTGCTGTCTCAGCCCTGAGCAGAAGGAGGTTGGGTGGTGTTTAATGTGGGCTTTAAAAAATAACAATAATCCCCAGCGGGAGCTGGAGGGCACTTGGAGCCCCGTGGTTGCAGCATCCTCCCCATTCCCACTCGCAGGATTTTGTAGCTGTGGGAGCAAAGGGCTTCCTGAGGCAGTGTCTTGTGTTTGGGAGCAGTTTGGGGGTGCCACAGACGGAGAGTTTGTGGAAGTTTTTGGGGTTGGCACCGTGGTGGGAGGTGCCGACAGACCCTCGGCGCTGTCAGGAGGCAGAACTGCGATGGAATGTGGGCAGGGAATTGTCGGAGAGAGGATTTCTCCAGCAGCCTTTGGGAAGAGATGAGCAGAGCAAGATTTGCTGTGTCCAGCCCAGAGAGGAGGAGGAGGAAGAGGAGGAGGTCGTGGTGGTTGCGACGTGATAAATGCTTGGAGGAGGCTTGTCTGGAGGGTGGGAAATAGCACAGGAACAGCAGAAACGTGGGTTGTCCAAAATTCCAAGCAGGTAAGAGGGGCTGGGGGGTGGCAGGGCGTGTTATCACGTGGATCCATTTCCAACAGCATCCTTTGGTACTTCAGCTCATGGCTGGGAATCCTGAGGAGATGCCCGAGGGAAAGGCTGAGCTGTGGAAGGAGCAAGACTGGAAGGAGCAGTGGCAGCTCCAGGGGGTGGTTGTGGCTCTCCCAGCTCTCTGTTGTTTTGGGAGGAGGTGCTGGAGCTGTGGGCAGGGGGACACAGACCCCCAGGAAGCAGCAATGCTGTTGGGGGTGGATTAGAGAGGCAGGAGGGGGGCGAGCAGGACAGGGGGTGGGACCAGCCTGATCCCCCCATCAGGGTGGGCTGGTGCTCCTGGCCATGCTGTCACCTTTTCCATGGATCCCATTCTGTGCCTTGATTTATCCTTTTAGCATGGGTTGGTGCCTTCTGGAGCTGCCAGGGAGTACCTCGTGGGGTGGGGGGAGCTCTGTGCAATGCAAAGGTCTCAAAATCTTCTGTATTGAACATGAAACTTGGCTCCAGGAAAGCACATGGAGAGCCTGGTGAAAATACCCCGTGCTCCTGCCCAGCTCCATCCCCCCAGGCTTCTAAGGAGCATGTATCCCATGGGAGCACAGGGTGCTTTTGGCAGGCCAGTAGTTCCTTGCAGGAGCAATTAAACTGTCCTTGCTCACCAGGTTTTCCCCAGAGAGATCCCAGCCAGCAGCTGGTGCTGGCACGTGGATGCCCCGTGTCCACACTGCCCCAGTTGCAGCACCAAACCTCATGGATCCATCTCATGGAAGTGGATTGGGATCCATGAGGTTTGGTGCTGAGGCTGTGAGCAGAAGGGTTGGGTTCTCTGGAGAAGGGATGGGTGCTCCTGGGAAGGGATGGATGTGCTGGGGAAGAGATGGGTGCTCTGCTGAAGGGATGGGTGCCTGGGGGAAAGAATGGATGCACTGGGGAAGGGGTAAGTGCTCCAGGGAAGGCAGAGATGCTCCAGGGAAGATGGGATGGGTGCTCTGGAGAAGAAAGAATAGGTGCTCCTGGGAAGGGATAGGTGCTCCAAGGAAGGGATAGGTGCTCTGGTGAAGGTATGGGTGCTCTGGAGAAGACATGGATGTTCTGGAGAAGGGGTGAGTACTCCTGGGAAGAGATGGATGCTCCTGGGAAGAGATACATGCTCCAGAGAAGGGATGGGTGCTCAGGGAAGAAAGGGCAAGTGCTCCGGCGAAGGAATGGGTGCTCCTGGGGAAGGAATGGATGCACCAGGGAAGAGATGAGTCCTCCAGGGAAGAAAGGAGAGGTACTCCTGGGAAGAGATGGATGCTCCAGGGAAGGGATGGGTGCTCAGGGAAGAAAGGATGGATGCTCTGGTGAAGGAATGGGTGTTCCTGGGAAGGGATAGGTGCTCCTGGGAGGGAGGGATGGGTGCTCTGGTGAAGGAATGGGTGTTCCTGGGAAGGGATAGGTGCTCCTGGGAGGGAGGGATGGGTGCTCTGGTGAAGGAATGGGTATTCCTGGGAAGGGATAGGTGCTCCTGGGAAGGAGGGATGGGTGCTCCAGGGCCGGCATGTGCAGTTTCCGTCCAGCCGCCTCTGATCCGATTATGTAAATGTCCCGGAGCCGCGGGGAACGCAGCGAGCAGGAGGAAATAAATAAATATATCTGGAAATGCAAGAGCTCTGCTGCGAAGGTGACCCCTCTGTGTGCTCTGGGAGCTGCCACAGCCGGCTCCTGGTGCTTCTCCTTACGGAGCTTGGGAGCATCCCCTGGGCAGGCAATGCTGGGAGGATGGAGGAAGGTTTGGGCAGAGGCAGAGCGGGACATGCCGGACCCTCGTGTTCCAGGTGAGCATTTCAAACCGGCTCTTGCAGGGCTGAAATTTAAGGCCAGAGCTCCACGAGCCGCCCGCTGGCTCTGCTCCCATCCCTGCTTGGAATCTCACTGGGAACAGTCCAGGCTCACGAGGACCAAGGAGCCCCATGTCAGCAGGGCTGGGAGCAGACATGGAAAGGCAAGTCACGATGTGCCACAGGGGAGGAGTGGGGCGTGTGTGAAAATAAGAAGCAACAAATTAACGGGATAATGAGAGGCCCGGAGCCAGAGCCGGAGCGCGGTGCTGGGTTGAGTACACTCGTCCAAGGAGCAGGGAAAGCTCCCTCTCATAATTCAGCAGCAGGCAGCAGGGATGTGTGGATGCACTGAGGAAGCCAGTTTGGGCGTCGGGAAGAGCTCACAGGGCTGTGGATGGTGCTGGAAATAGGTTTTTAATGGGAATGGGGAAGCTACGGCGGAGCTCGGAGGCGGCTGAACTGCGAGTGTGTGACTGCTGTGCTCTGCTGCTGGCTGGGTTTGTGCTTCCTTGAGGAATGTGAGCATGGAGAGCAGAATGGTTGGGCTTGCCTGTGTCATCCCTGGGTTAGTTTGTGTTTTCCTTGAGGTTTTGGATGAGCAGAGGCTCTGCCAGGCCCAGACAAGGAGGGGTGAGAGGTGGCCGGGGCAGGGGTTCTGTGCTGCTCCGTCAGGATTTGGTGAGGAGGGGCCCTCGGGCTGCCTGGAGCAGGCAGTCCTGGGATGTGAAGGACTCACCTGCCCTTGGGAGGCACTGGTGGCCACCCCAGCCTGTCCTGCCTGGGATGCCAGCACCCCTTTGAGGCAGACTGACCCCCCTCCCAGGTTCTCCTTTCCCATGGGAATGAACCTGTCTGGAGCACCAGCACCTGAGACACCAGCACAGAGCAACCTTCAGCCTCCAGACCTGCTGGGAGGGCTCTTGAGTGTGTGAAACACAGGGCTGGAACCAGAGTGAAACAGAGAGCAGCTTGTGCTGCTCCTCCTCTGGGGAAGGGGCCGTGGGCTGTGGGTTTAAGCCTCTCTGGGTCATCCAGCAGCATCCCAGAGGCTGCATCCTCCAACCCCAGCAGGATTTCTCCCTGTGGATCCCTCCAGGGCTGTGCTCTGGCTCAGCAGCAGTTATGGGTGGTCCTGTGCCACGTGCCAGTGCTCCAAGGAGCTGCCAACCTCTCCCTGCAGCCAGGCTGGGCTCCTGGAGACTCTGAGTGGCATCTGGATGTGCTCCTCAGAGCTGCTCCTCTGCCTCCTTGTGTCCCATCTTCTCTGCTGTTCTGTGGAGCACCGAGCTCCCTCTGCTCGCCGGGAATGCTGCTGTGATTAATCTGTACTCCCCAAATTGTTCCTGTATCAAACCAGACGATGCTGAGCACCTGCTCCGAGCTGCCTCAGGTTCCCAGCACAGCCTCCAGCCTGGTGTGTGAGTTCTGATGGTTTATAAGCCCCGTGTGTGTCCATGTCTGCTTTGGAAAACTGCTTAAAGCTGGGAGGAAATGGATCTGGGATCTCCTGCCCAGGGTGACCGTTGGACCAGGGTGATGCACACGTGGCTGTGTCCCGGTGCAGAGCCGGTTCCCGGGATGGATGGAATGTGATGCCGTCCCTCGGGGTCCCCAAACCCATCATGGCACAGGCAGGACGATGGACCTGATCTCCTGCACCCCCACAGCGCTCCAGGCAGCAAGGAGGGAGCAGCATCCTGCTTGGGCTGCTCCCAGCTCACCCTGGGATGGCCAGTGGGCTGGAGGAGCTCTCCACCCTGTGCATCCTTATAACCAGGGGTTAATTCCAGCCCTGCGGCGAGCAAACTCCATCCTTCACCCCTGGATTTGCCTCCTTAAGGCAGGGATTGCCCCCAGCCA